CATCCATCCATCCATCCATCCATCCATCCATCCATCCATCCATCCATTATCTTTACCCGCTTCTTCCTTGTTGGGTCACGGGGGTCACTGGTACCCATGTCCATCTATCACTGTGCAAGGTGCGGGGGACACCCTGGACAGGTCTCCAGTCCATCAGAGGGACACAAAGAGACAAACAACCATTCACTCTCTCACTCACACCTAGGGACAATTTAGAGTTACCAATAACACTAACATGAATGTTTTTGGTCACTGGGAGGAAACTGGAGTACCCGGAGAAAACCCACGCATGCACGGAGAGAACATGCAAACAAAAGGCCCCCTGACCGGGATTTGAACCGGGGCAACCTGCTTGCTGAGCGACAGCAGCTCTACCAACTGCACCACTGTGCTGCCAAGTGGTAGTAGAAGTACTCTAGAAGTAACTTAAGTATGAATTATGACAGGAAGTTTTTCCTCTCCACTGATTGGCCAATGTCACATCAATCACAAATTTAACAGTCCAATCAGAAAACAGATGGGTTCTGGTCCTGGAAGGGTTGAAGAAGATGGAAGAGGAAAGTGCTATGTGTTGTCATCATGAATGTTTCTATACAATGATGAAATTATGTTCCTGCATTTATCCCATCACACCTGAGGTACATCCAGGTGGAGCAGTGGGCAGCAATGTAAGCGCCTGGGGAGCAGTTAGGGTTAGATGTCTTGCTCAATGACACCACAACATGTGGACCTGGCAGAGAGTTGAACCTGCAACATTCTGGTTCTAAACTGGCTTCCCTACCTCTACATCACAGCCGCCCCACAAGGAAGACTGCACCAGAGCTACCAAACAGGAGTTTCAAAATATATATCTAACGACTGCAATTTCATTCCTCCATAAAGTGATGCCTGCCTGAGATGTAGCAGAGCTGGACCATCCTCCATCTTTAAATGTACCACCCTTCCAGGACCTGCAGCTCAGTAAAGCCACATCCAGACAGTCAAACCATCTGCTCTGACTGGAATTTGTGACCATGTGATTCTGCACAAAGTACAACAGACCTCAGGTGTTTTCCAAATCTACTACAGTTTTCAGTTTGAGGTATATTTGATTGCAAACACACCCCTTAAAACAAAACAAACAAACAAACAAACAAGAAAACAATTAAATAAACTTCTAGACTTAAAGAAAATATTGTCTGCAAGTTTACGTTAAATGTTAGCCTCAATAGGCTAACGAGCATGTGGTCCTTTCTCTCTGATAACTGATGTGTGGAAACAAGAGACCACAGCGTGAACGCCTGGTGAGTTTTGTCTCAGTGTGGGAGAGAACGTTTGCTTCTCGTTCTGTTAGCAGACATCAGAGAAAGAACAAAACCGTTCTCTAACATTTGACATTCACCATGGAGTCAGACTGATGTGATGTCTTCAGTTTACAGCAGACGACTCGTAAATACTGAGTCCAGCTAATAATGACTGCAGGATGTCAGCTTTGGATGTTTGTAAGAATTACAAGGATGCATCCATCCATCTGTCCATCATCCATCCATCTGTCCATCCATCCATCTGTCCATCATCCATCCATC